AGGAGGATGGAGGAACGCACGGGTGAGTGGGGGGCAGATGTGGAAAGGCAGCTCTGAACCCCCCCAGGCTGAGGGCAGCTTTTTGGGGCTTCGGTTCGAGCGAGGAAACTGAGGCAGGGAGAAATCCGAGGACTCAGCCTTAGGAGATGCACGGGGCTCTCTTCGCCACTGGGACCGGGATTGGGATGGGGACTGAGGTCGGGATCAGAACGGAGATTGGGATCGGGTTGAGCCCTGCCTCACGCATCCCGGAGCTTACCTCCCCCTCCAGCTGCACTGATCCGCCGAGAAGCTGCCGAGGGCAGCGGCCAGCCCGGCTAAGCACAGCGCCCACAGAGCCCGCATGGCCGCTCCGGGGCTCCGGGCTCCCGGCAGCGGCGGCCCCGGGGGCGGCGGAGGCGGCGGCGGCCCCGGCCGTGGCCGCGGATCGCAGCGCGCTGGGGAATTTTGGGGGGGGGGGGGACCGGGGGGGGCCAATCAGCGCCGCGCCCCCAAACTTTGAGCCAATAGGGGCGGAGGGGCGGGGTTGTCCCCCCCTCACCTTCCCCCCCCCCAAACCTCCACCCCGAGCATCCCACGCGGGGAGCGGGGATCGGTTCACCACCTCCGGTGGACCCCAGGGCATAGGGGGGGTGGCACCGGTCACCCCATCCCCACACCCCCCATAAGCCAGGGATTGCCTCCCCACGGAGGGGGTTTTCTCGAGAAGGGGGCCGCAGCGTGTGAAGCTGGGCCTGGCTCACAGGGCACACCCTGGGACCCCCAATCCCATCCCCAAGTCGCCCTTTGGAAGGATTTCCCCCCAATTTGGACAGCCGCTATCAGCATCTGGCCGCCAGCTACGCATCTGCATCTCCTCCCTCTCCCCTTCTTCCGCGAGCTGTTCCCCATTATGGCATTTTTATTTTATTTTCCCTTCAGACACCATTGTGCCGGGCTCACAAACCCTGCAATTAATTAAGTTTCCATCGAGTGACAGCCCGCCAAAATGTTTGAAATAAACACGGAACAATTGCGATGCGATGATACAGGCGGAGAACAAAGTCCCCGGAGAGAGGGTGGAGCCGAATGGAAATGAGGGATTGTAAATTTGGATGGCAGAAAGAAAGAGAAAGGAGGGGAAGAGGAGGGGGCCGGGCACGAGGAGGGGGGAGAGGGATTCAGAGCCCTCCGGCCATGAAATGACACTGAAAGAAGTCAATCTGATGGAATCCGTGGAAAATTAAGGCCAGGAGAGGGTGGATGCCGTGGGAGATGGACAAAGGCAGCAGGGTCAGCACCACTGCCCACCGACCTCCCAGAGCTGGGCCTGAAGTGGGCTGAACCGGGCTGAAATGAGTTGAACTGGGCCTGAACTGGGCCGCAATGAGTTGAAGTGGGCCCATACTGGGCTGAACTGGGAAGATGCAAAGCCCTGTGCAGCACAGCACGCGCAGCCCCAGGCCATCATCACTCAGTGAGCCCAAGTGGGGCAAAGCATCCCTGAGGGCAGCCAGAGATGCCACCAACTGAAATGTTTTGGCCCCGTGGCCAACGTCCCCTGGCAGTGTCCCCAGGCCGTGTCTATGAACCATCACCCCAATACACCTCCAGTGCTCCCCCTGCCCCCCATGACACTGTGCTGCAGTCCCTTCCGCCCCAGCCACCCACCTGCTGCAGGGGCCACCGCGCAGCCACCTCCATCATCACCATGTGGGGCCACATGTCACCACGCTGGGGACATCCTGCCACTGTCACCCCCGTGGCGTCGGCTGCCCGGCTCCCTGCTCCCGGGTCGCTTGGGGTCCCCGAGCTTCTCGGAGCCCCGGGGCCGGGATGCTGCGGGCTCGCAGTGCCCTCTTGTGACTGCGGACACGGCTCTGCATCCCCCCAACCCCGACCCACCCCTCCCAGAAGGGATTTGTGATCTGCAGGTCTGGGCCTGATCCTGCCTCAGCTCTCCCATATACCAGCATAGGGCACAGTGGAGCAGGGTGGGCAGAAACTCTCCTGGGGGGGGCAGAGGGGCTGTGAGGTGGGCAGAGGGCTGCAGGGGCTCCTCAGAGGGGAAGGGGCTGGGGCCTGACCCTAAAGGGCTGCTCAGAGTTTGGGGCTCCCCATCCCCTCCTGAAGATGTGGCTGCGTGGGGAGCTGCTCCTACTGAGCCAAGAGAGCCCGTGGGAACTGCAGCTGCGTCAGGCACCCACATCATCCCCAAAAAATAGCTTGAGAGGCCTCACATTGGCTCCCAGCCTCGCTGGATCTCAAGATCCCAAGACTGAGGGTCCTGGTCCCCGGCCCTATGTGTATCCATGTCCTCTCACAGTGTCCTGAGGGATGTCAGGAGGGAAACTGCATGCTAAAGGTCGCCACGTTGGGGCAGGATCCCTGAGAGAAGGTCCTTGCAGCACGGTGGTGGATCCCACAGCTAAGTGAGGGTTCTCATGTAAGGACAAGATTCCCCACTAGCTGGGTGAGGGTTCACATGGCCAAGTGAGGGACCTCATTTTGGCATTGGGTGTCCTCAAGTGAGAGAAGGTTCCCATGAGGATTTCAGAAGTGGGTGAGGCTCTCAGCAGCAGGATGAGGGTCCCTGTGGCCAGAGGGGGTCCCCATGGCAGGACAAGTGTCCCCCTGGCTGGGTGAGGGTCCTCACAGCCAGGTGATTGTACCCACAGCAAGATGAGGGTCCCCACCTCTGGGTTCTGCCCTCACCCAGCTTCAAGACCTGGAGATATTGCCCTCCATTTGGGGACCACAGGGGTGTGCTGAGCCCCACCGGGGGCAGTAGGGCTGCACCGAGGGCGGCGTCCCCAGGCTGTCCCCACCATCGTCAGCCTCCAAAGCAGAACCCGGCAAGGCTGCCCTGGCACGTGCATCCTCTCCGGCGGCGAATGGAGCTGCCTATTGATTTGCAGGCGGGCTAAAAATAACCCTCATCTCTTCATCCAGAGCTGTGAAAAATCCCCCATCGCTAGGCGACGGGTTACCGGGAGACAGCCATCGCTAGGCGACCGCCGTTGCCGAGGCGACGGCACCCTGCGCACTGCGGTCCAGCTTTGGTACCCGCGGTCCGGCTGGCCCGAGGATGCTCGGCCCGTAGCATGGGAACCAAACCCAGAGGCCTCCAAGAGCCCCGTGTGGATAGCAGGGGTGGGAGCTGAGTGGGTTCTCACCCACTGCCCACACAGGGGCTGCTGCTGGGTGGCTGTTCCCGTTGGGGACGTCCCTGTGGGGACAAGGCGTCGCGGGGAGGAAGGACCCCCAGGCCTCTCACTGGGGTCATTGAGGGAGGGACAGATGTGTGACGTGGAAAAGGCCACAAACCAACATGTGCCTGGTCACTGATTCTTCCGGCCCCTTCTTCTGCAGCTGGGCGGGATGGGGGTGGCAGAGGCTGCTCTGTCCCTGCACGAGGGACGCATCTGAATGCCAGCAGCCCCCAGCCCCAGCAGCTCCTCACACCATCACCCCCGTGGCTGCTGTCCTCCCTTTACACATGGGGCAGAGGCAGTTGCACACTGGAGGGACACAACAACACAACACTTCCAGTTGTGGGGTGGGATTATGTGTGTGTATGCGTGTACATCCTCCCCCCAAACACTCTCCCATTGCCAGCAAGAAACTCGACCTGCCTTATAAATAATGGAGGCAGCCAGATCCTGGCAGTTACATCAGCGTCCCCAGGGCCTGGCCGGGTGGCAGCCAGCCTAGCTTACCCCACTACAGTGCTGTGTAATGGGAAGGGGTTAAGCACTGTTCCTAAGGCCATTCCTTCCAGTTTGGGGAGCTGGGCCCCACACTGGAGTTGCTGAGTGGGTGCAGAGCTGGGCAAGACAGGAATAAGTGAGGAAGCGAAGGCATCTGCTCTTCCCTCAGTGCAGGCTCCTGCAGCTTGCCAGGGTTTGGATCATCCCCACTGTGCTGGGGGTGCCAGTGGAACCAAGGCTACCAGCCAAGAGGGTTCAGAACAGGGATTGCCTTTTGCCAGTGTCCTGCTGGGGAGAGAGACAGAGCAAACACCCCTAAGTCCATCCATTCTTTTGTCCACCTAGCCTTCTATCCCTCCATCTGTCCGTTCATCCCCCCCTCCATTCATCTGCTCCTGCATCCATCTCTCCATCCTTCCATCCCTCCATCCTTCTGGAACCAGATGATCTTTGAAGTCTCTTCCAACCCAAGCCGTTCCACAAGTCAATGATTCTATGATTCTCCTGCTTCTCTGCCTCCCCACACCTGACCACCCGTCTGTTCTCGCATCCGTCCCTCCGTCCAACCCTCCATTGCTGCATCTATCCCTCCATCCCTTCATCTTTTCCTCCATCCCTCCATCTATCACTCCAACATCCACGTGTCCCTGCATCCATCCCTCCACCTATTCCTCCACCTATTTATTCCTCTCTCCATCCATCCCTCCGCCCTTTCCTCCCTTTCCTCCCTTCATCCCTCCACCCTTTCATCCCTCCATCCCTCCACCATCCATCGACCCCTCCATCCCTAAATCCGTACCCATCCATCCCTCCATCTATCCATCCATCCGTCTCTTCCTCCACCCCTCCATCCATCCCCGCATCCCTCCCTCCCTCCTCCCACCCCCACCCCTCCCTCCGGTGCCTCCCACCCTCCCGTCCCTCCCCGCTGTACGGGGGCTCTCAGCTCCCCTGCTCCTTCCCCCTTCACCTGGTCGCTGCCGTTCGGTGCCGCGGGGACCGGGACCGGTGCGGGGACCTCGGCGCTGCGTTGTCGCTCTCGACGGCGGTGTCTCTTTAACGGGCGGCTGTACGGACTCGGGAGGCTGCGTGTGCGCGCGTGTGCGCGCGTGTGCGTGTGCGAGCCTCTCGCGGCTGCCCTGCACCGAGCCGGATCCGGCCCTCTCCCCTCCCCACCGCTGTTTTGGTTTTTTTTGTTGTTGGTTTTTTTTGTGTGTGTGTGGTTTTTTTTGTCGGCTTGAGGCCGAGCGGCAGCGAGCACCCATCTTCCTCCTCTTCTCTCTTCCTTCTCCTCCTCCTCGAGGTTTCCTCGCGCAGGAAAGGAGCGGCTGTCCGCGCACGGCATGGCATGAGCTGGGAGAGCTGGAGGTAAGGGATCGCTTATTTATTATTTGCGGGGGTCGTTTTGTTTTTCTCTTTTATTCTTATTATTGTTGATGATGGTGATGGTGATTTGCTCTCGGGAAACCATTGCGACACAAAGCCCGCACATCGCCGTACGGCCCCGGCGGGCGGGGAGGGGGCTGGGGCCGCAGCCCCCGGTGCAGCATCCCGCTGCACCGTTATATAACGGCGTCGGAGTGAGCCCCGTGCTCCCGGCCGGGGGGAAGGAGAGGGAGAAGGTAACGGAGGGGCCCCTCTCCGTTCCACTCGCCTCCCTTCCCCCCTCCATCCCCCCCCAAACGGGGGCCCAGAAGGCAGGGAGTGGGCTGGCACCGGCTGTCCTGTAGGGAGGCTTTGGGATGAGTGCGGTTGTCAGCATGGAGAGAGAGGTAGGGTGGGGGGTTGTTGCCTTGTTGCCTGCTTTCTGATCCCCCTCCCCCCGCCCCCCAAGTTCCTGAAGCACCCCCTCAGGCTGCTCACCCTCCTCCATGGTTCTGTAGGGTAAAAGAGAATGGCACCTCTGGAGCTGTATCCCCTGGCACCCTACAGCCTATTAGCCCTGGACCCCTGCATCCTAGCACTCCAGCACCGTTGGAGTCCATTATCATGCTACCCTGATACCTTAAATTCCCAGCACCCCATCATTCCAGCATCCCATCACCCTGATATCCCAACCACCCAGGACCATGGCACTTCAACACTGTGTGATCCCAGCAACTTGGAAATCTAAAATCCCAGCACCCCGTTACCCTGGTGCCCCGGCACCCTTGTGCCTCATCATCCTGGCACCCCTACATCCAAGCACCATTAAACCGTGGGACTCCAGTGCCCTGATCCTGCAGCATCCCATCATCCCAACACCCCACCATGCAAACACACCAACAGTATAAGACTCCTGGCACCTTAAAACCTCATAATACTGTCACTCTGTCATCCTGTCATCCCAAAACACCTGGCACCCCAGCACAGTGGAATCCTAACAGGCTGATCCACTAAAATCTCTACACTCCATCCCTCTTTCACACTCTGGTATCCAAGCAGTGTGGCATCCCAAAATCTTGGCATCTCAGCACCCCAGTAGCCTGACATAATGGCACACCAGCATCCTGGTACCCTATCACCCTAAGACCCCAGCACTTTGTCACCCCCCACTTGGGCATCCTGCTCTCCAGAACCTTTTCACTCTGTCACCTTGACTCCACAACACTCTGACACCTCAGCAACCTGGCATCCCAATGCCTCAACAACACCCCAGCAACAACTGTGGGATTTTCCTCTGTTCTGGGCTGATACAAGCCATGGAGTCTGGAAACAACACATTGCCATCACCGTCACTCCTGGAGGCCAATGGGACACAGAGAGGCAGGGCTAGACCTTAGGGATGAGGCACACAGGGGTGATCCCTACAGCAGGATCCCCGCTCTGCGTGGGGCACCCCACAGTGGCTATGGAAGCCCCACAGAGGGAGCAAGGCTGCTTGTGCTGGGCCAGGCTGAGCCAGATGGTGGGGGAACCAAGGCACAAGGTTGGTGAGCTGTAACCAGAGCCCCCATGGCCTCAGCGATGTGGGGGGGTCTGAGATTACTATCAGGATTCATTTGGTTCCACTGTGCCCCACTGGCAGGATATGATGGTGTCCCAATGGCAGACTGGAATGCTTCCATGGTAGGGGAGCTCTGACAAGGATACTGGGCCAAGGGCAGGAGGCTTTGGGGCACTCTGTGAGTGCGGAGCAAGAGATGCACAGTGCTGGCATTTCCCCTCCTCTGGAAGCTCAGTGCTGATTTCACTCCAGCTACCAGGAAGAGGGAGGGAGGTGGCTTTGGAGTGGGGAGGACTCGCTTCAGCATCCATTTTTAATGAGATAGATATCTATTTTTCCCCGAGCTGGCTTCCCCCACATCGATCCCTGCTCCATCCTCCAGGCCTGTTTTCCTCTCTGTTGCAGTGGGGATGTGGTGGCTGAGCTTTCCCAGTACTGGGAACCTCCTGGCTCCCCAAATCCCACTTCTGGGGGTGCTGGGGTCCTTGTTCAAGCTGGGACTGGGGATGGCATGTGGGAAGGCAAATGGGATAATAGGGTCCTCTGTTCCCTCCAGAGGAGCCACCTCCATGTTGCACACCCCATGGGAACATGGCATGACAGAAGGGAGGCCAGGGCTCTTGGGAACCCATTGCTTTTGGGGGTAGTAGCTGTGCTCATGCTGTGCAGGCAGCAGAATGGAATGTGCAGGCAAGCGCAGATCCTTTGGCAGCTTCTTATCCATTCCAAGTCCCTGCCCACCCATCATGGGACTGCACACATTCTTCAGGTGCTCTGGGGATGGGAGAGCATTCAGGGAAAGGGCAGGAAAGCAGAAAAATGTTCCTGGGGTTTCTCTCTGCTGGAGCTTTGTCCAGCTCCTGGACAAGCAGGTGGTTGTGGGGCTGCCTCCTGGCCCCATCACACAGCATCAACACTGATGGTTGGTGGGGAAATTGAGGCAGGTGGGTGAGAGGACATGGAGCACCGGGGCTGGGCTGCCTCTCCTCCTTGCAACAGGGCTGTGATCTTGGTCAGAGGCTGGAATCTAACAACTTTCTGAGTTTATGTCAGCACTGAGCAACTCCAGCACCCTGCAGCAGAAGTCCTGTGGCTCAGCACTGCCTCCCTGCCCTGATGTCCCACTTGTTCCCTCAGCACTATCCAGTCACGCTCTGTGTTCTCTTAGGTCCTGCAGTCCTGTGTCTGTGGCAGGGCTCAGGCTGGGCTGGTAGCCTGGGGAGAGGCTGATATTGGTGCTGGATTGGTGCTGGTCCCTTCCATCGTGGGCACCTGTGGCCAAGACCTTCTCAGGGCCTCAGATCTGTGGTGCAGAGAGCTTCAGGATGTCCCACTGGCCTGGCAAAAAAGCTTCACTGTTTGTGTGGCCATTGCCACGTCCAGAATGATGAAGACGTCTGAAGACTCTGGAAGAGGCACTTGTCCCAGCAGTACCAAGGAAGCGCACTGATGTCCCAGGAACAGCCACAGGTTGGCTCATCTCTCCTCGATGAGACCCTTAATCAGCACTCAGGGCCTTTCCTTTATGTGTGGGCACTCTGTTCCTGGGACAAAAAGGGGCAAGGAGCAGAGCTACAGCATGCCCAGCTCCATCAAATGAGCACACTCTGGCTGTTACGCAACAGGAGCTGCTCTCCCAACACAACACCTTGGTTAACGGGGAGCAGGGAGAAACTTAGCTGAGGCACATGGAAGCATGAGCATCCTCCCTTCAGCAGTGAGGCCTGGTATTTCTGAAGGAGGCTGGAGGAGGTGAGCCCAGGTCAGCCACAGTCGCCACCCGACTCTGTCCACATCTGTGCACATGTGCATAGAGGTTTGTTGACAACCATCACTGGATGTGGAGTCTGAGGCTCCTTGTGGAACACGGAGCTGCCTGGGATAGGAAGGAAGTCAATGCCTAATGTATTTGGGAGATTTGGGCCTCAGCAGCGGCGCACCACAAAGTTACATACTCCAGGCCATGCTCAGCTCTCCAAATTAACCAGACAAATCCCCACTCCTGGGGATAATCATTGTGTGGAACAGCTATGGCCAGAACCAGTGCTGCTCCTTGCCCTCCTGGAGGCTTAGGATGGGCTGGCATAGAGTGGGGCTAGCATCACCTCCCACGCGGGCTGGGATCACGCCAAAGTGATAAACCCTGGGAAGAACGTGGGAAAAGTGTGTAGCAGCCAGAGGGGACCCTACTGCCTGCTGCAGGGAACTTTGGCCTTTGAGTGTTTTCCTAGCACCCCCTGAACCTTTTTATCTACTGCAAGGTGGGATGAGCTCATTGGCATCATTGGGAGAGGAACAGGAGAGCTGCGCTAATCTCTCTAGTTTCTCAAGGACCTCTCAGGATAATCCTAGGAAGGAATTTCCCAGCTCCCATCGTACAAACAGGTCTCTGGGCCAAGCAACAGAGAGCAGAACACGGTCTTTTCCTCACCACGAATTCCTGGTTCGTGCTGCAGCGTTCATCCTGCAACACACGGTGCTGAGCTTGGAGCTGTGCTCTGAGCCTCTCTCCCAGCTGACGTGTGAGTCCTGAGCTCCTGAGCTCTGATCCACATGTGCACACGCACATGTGCATGTACAGGCAGCCTCTCTGCACCTAAACACACTAGCTGCCCCTCCATCTCTAGGGGAGCAAGGGGCTCTTTGGGGGATTCAGTGCCTCCTCTACATTGCCAAGGTGATCCAAGCACACTGAGAGGACAGCCATACACATGCCTGACTACACACTGCACGGACAGTGGGCTGAACGGATGCAGTCAAAGAGACAACATGCACACTGCTGAACACTGCTGGGAAAGGCAATCTTTATAGAAGGATATCTTTATTATTACCATGTGCTTTGGTCTACAGGTTCTTCTGCCACCAAAGCAAGAGCTAGCATGGCATTGCTGTTGGTTCAGCTTCTTGTGTACATTTGGTGGTTTTGGGCAGCCGTTACCCTTGATACCACTGGACAAAAGCTTTGGCTGTGTGTTCTGCCACAGCACTGTGTCTCGGGTGTGTTTTCTCTGCCTGTAGAGCAACTTGATTTGCTGCATTAGTAAAAATAGATGGGCTAATGAATTCAGCTGATGCAACCCTGCGTGAGTGTGTGTGTGCATGCGCTTATCTCTGTTTGTGTGTGTATATGTGCATGTATATGTGTGTCTCAGTACCAAGGCTCATGCAAGGTGCATCCACCAGCCCCTAGGGCTCTGATGCGTGTGTGTGTGTGCGTGTCCAAGCATATCTGTTTGTGTGTGTGTGTGTGTGCAGGAAGCCGTGAGCGATGGCTGCTTGCTGCCGAGCAACTCTCTGTCACCGAAGCAGTAGCTCTACAAAAATAATTTTGCATCAGCCTTGGGTTCTGTCAATGCAATAAAAGGGCTGCAGGGAGGCTAGCAGGGCAGCAGGAGCCCTTCACAGGGGCCTGGTGGGGCAGCAGGAGGGGCTTCACAGGGAGTGGTGAGGAAGCAGGGGGGGATAGCAAAGGGGAGATAGCGGGGGGGGGGGGCAGCAGGGGGGATAACGAGGGATAGCAAAGGCAATAGGGGTCTGTCGGGCCGTTTTGAGGGGTGCTTCTGCAGGATGCTGCTGCCCCGAGGCTGGCGGGGCAGGCCGCTGTCCGCGGTGCTGAACGGGGGCCGGTGTCGCTGACCGCGGTTCTGAACGGGGAGGTCGGTGTCGCTGTCCGCGGTGCTGAACGGGCCGGTGTCGCTGTCCGTGGTGCTGAACGGGGAGGCGAGCTGTGTGGCTGTGCGCGGTGCTGGCCCCTGCCAGGACCTCTGTCCGCAGTGCTGAACGGGACTCGGACCTCGACCCCGTCGATCTCCATGGACCACCGAGCCCTGCCAGCCCTGAGCCTCCGGTGTGCCCTGAGCTGCCCCGATGGCCCAGAGCTCACAGTGGCCATAAAATCTGGATGCAGCTGGACTGCAGTCTGACCTAGTGTATCTCTGCCACAGCCTGGGCTCTCTAAGTGAGCCCGTACGTACACAAGGGTGGCACTAGCAGGTGACTGTCCACCCCAGCTGTTTCTTGAGGTTCTCATCCCTCATCACTAACACGTGGAGACAGTAAATTCGCCAATGGTTTGGACAAGTGTTCTCTTCCTGGGTACTTTTGTCTTATCCTTCCCAGCTTCATCATCTGCGTAATGTTTGTAGTGACACACTCTTAGACCCCCTTCTTTCTTCTCTCTTCCTGCGTCAATTCCACCCCCCACAACTGCATCATCACTTATTGTGGATGAGAAAGCCCTCATGAATGGAGTGATTTCTCTGCAACAACATTTCCTGTGAAATGCGCACCCTGGAATGAATTTGTGAGACTAAAAGACCTTGCCCTTTGCTTTTGTCAGGTTTCCTTCCTCTGTGGATTGAGATTTGGTACAGCTGGCAGACACCTCCCTCCCTGAGGCCTGTGAGAGCAGAGGGGGCTTACACGAGGGTCTCTGAAGCTGAGTCCTTCTTGTGAAGTCCCAAAGTAAGAATGGTTATACCAAGCACTTAGTACTTCTTCTGAGAGAGGATGGAGGGCCAAATCTCTGCTCTTTCTCTGCTTTGGAGTAAAAGTAAAAAGCAAATATGTGCAGATATCTGTAGAACTGTGGGTACATCAGAAGGGACAAGGGTGTCAAAAGTGGGGACTGAGAGTGCAGGACTCTGTACTGACTTTCCCAAGGCTGCCCAAGTGCATTAGAGGAAGGACCTTAGTAAGGGCATGGTGTGCTCCGTGTGTCTCAGTGCACAGAAGCTCTGAAGGATGGACTTGCACGTTGTACTTGTACTTCGTACATTGTACTTGCACTCCGTACAGTGGAGCAATGTGGCCTCCGCTCTGGGCCTGAGGAGCCTGTAGGGCTGCTGCTGGGGGCTTTTCAGTAGCAGTGAGGGGCGACTCCAGAGGCAATGGAGAAGTGATTATTAAGCCAACAAGCACCCCCAGCATGTTCTCCCTGCCACCATCTCCAAGATGCTCTCTTACCCAGGCAAGGTCCTGATGCTTTCAGGCTGACAGAATCCCTGGTTGTCCGTTCTCCAGAGAGATGCAGCCATGTACAGTAAGCCTAGATGGACACAGCTACAACCCTGCCTTCCCAGCTTCCTGCTATCCATGCCTGAAACCTGCCTTTGTCCAGAAGGCCTCCATCCCGGTTGTATTCCTACTTGAAGTGACTTCCCAGCTCATTCATGGTTTGGAATATCTGTGAGACAGACAAGCAGCTTCAGTGCCTGGGGCAGGGGGAGCTATCTCATCTTCCCAAGGCAGAACTGTGAAAACCACCAAGCCCTGCCTTGAGGATGAGCCTCACTCTCAGCTGGTTGTAAATGCTGCCAACACCTCCCTCTGGCTGAATTACAGTCTGATTATCGTCAGCATCTGTCTCCTCCCATGGCTGCCCCTGTGGAAGCCCCCACCCCTGGTTTACCTTCTGATGTCTGGAGACCATGGGCTGCCCCACTCCCACCACCTGACCTCTCCCCAAAGGCAGCCAGCATGGTGAATTGCTCTCTGTGGGCTCTGTGCCGGAGTGACAGCCTTTCTGTGCTGTGCAGTAATTATCTGTTTTGATTTGTGTTGTAGCGCTGTGTTAGACACCCTGGTGCACGTTCTGTTTGCTTCCCTAATTGCTGCCAACCTCAGAGCTGCCGGTTTTAAGTTTCTTCCTTTTCCCCCTCCTCTTCCCCTGCTTTCAAGCAAATTTAGTCAAGCATCTGGGGCCCGAACCCTCTGTAGGGCAGTGTAAGTGAAGGCAGCAGAAGCTGCATCCAAGTGGGAAGTGGCGCCAGGCTGTCTGCTCAGGGCCAGATCCATTCCCGGAGGATGGGCTCTGGTGGTGCCAATGCCACTGTGCTGGGCTGCTGTGGAGAGGTGAGAGGCTTCACCACTGGCTGCTTCCCATCTGCAGGGTGAATGGGCAGAAAACTAGCTCTTAAAGAGAGGGGTAAAGTCTGGGAGAAAGCTGGTGGCGAGTCCTAGGTCTCTCAATTCAGGGGGCTGCTCCCCCACGCAGCAGGGCATGGGGATGATGGGAGGGTTGGAGTAATGGGCTGGGGGCAGCAGGGAGATCTCCAGCTGTGTCCTGGTGTTGTAGGGGCTGTCGGAGTGCAGCATAGAGTCTGGCTTAGGCCAGCACTGTCTCCAGGGTGGAACAGCCCCAAAGCCTGTGTACCTGGGCCACCAGCAACACATGCGGCTCACCAGCCAGCGTGCTACTCTCTTGGTGCCCTCAGTCACTTTCCTGGGGGCAGAAAGTAGGGACACAGCCACAGCCACATCTTGTTTCCTTTCTGCCAGGCTCCCCTCCTCCAGATCTCAGCCATCCAAAGTATTTTCTCACTTCATTCTCAGCTTTTATTCTGCTTCCGAGGGGGAGCTGGTGACTGTGTTCTCAGGTCCCATTAGCAAGCACAAACTAATGTGCCACTCAGGCATGGCTGTCACTGAGCAGTCCCCATCCCTCAGGACCTGGGAGTGACAGCTCTGTCTCATCCCCATGGGCTCCATTTCTGCAGGCTCTAGCTCCTCCTATGCCCCTGGATGTTTTGGAAGCCCAGGCTCCTATGGCTCCATCTCAAGCTGGGCTCCAAAGGAGATGGGAACCTAGTCCTTTGCAGGGCTTGGTTCGGGTGAGCACTGTGTGCTGGGGCACAGGGTGTTGGCAGAATGGGTATGACACTGGTAGGGCTCTGTGCCAGTCACTGGCTGGTGGGAGGGGGGGGCGGGTAAGCCCCCATCAATTATTCACTTCTGTATTTATAGAGGGAAATGTAATTAATAATGCATGGTGGGGTGTGGCAGGGCTGTTTGAAAGCCTGTCTGGCTGCATCTGAAATATTTATTGGCTTGCTTTGATGTGGTGCCTCTGCAAGCTATGGCACCCGATCGGCACGGACTCACTGGACAGCATGGCACGTGTGGTCTCTGTCACCCAAGCCGTGCATCCCAGTGAGCCCAGTGCTGGCTGACATCTGCTTACTACCCCTGTGTTGCAGAGAGACCAGTGGAAGATGTCGAACCCGAGAAACGGTGACACCAAGCCCCCATGTTTGCCTCGCAATGGACTGGTGAAGATCCCCACACAGCCCAACGGCCTCGGCTCTGCCAGCATCACCAAAGGCACCCCTGCCGTGAAAAACCGCCTGTGCCAGCCTTCCTCCGTGCCTGCCATCCTCAGCCCAGCCTTAGCCCCCCGCAGCGACCTGCCCATCCCCAGCCTGGCCTCGCCGCTGTCCCTGGCCGCTCTGGCTGGCGTCTCGTCCCCTCCCGGCACCTCCTTGGTGGCACTGAACTCGAGCGAGGCCATTCCAGGCTCTGAGCATCCCTCTCCAGAACGGCTGCCCGGTTCACCCTCAGAGAGGCAGCTGGTGGTGGATGAGAAGATCCTCAACCGCCTCTTCTGGTACTTTTCGGCTTGTGAGAAGTGCGTGTTGGCACAGGTGTGCAAGGCGTGGCGGCGAGTGCTCTACCAACCCAAATTTTGGGTGGGTCTGACACCTGTCCTCCACACCAAAGAGCTCTACAATGTCCTGCCTGGTGGCGAGAAAGAGTTTGTCAGCCTGCAGGGCTTTGCTGTGCGGGGTTTTGACGGTTTCTGCCTTGTGGGCGTCTCCGACCTGGACATTTGTGAGTTCATTGACAACTACCCCTTGTCCAAGAAGGGGGTCAAGTCTATGAGCCTTAAAAGGTCAACCATCACGGATGCAGGGCTGGAGGTAGGTGGCCTCAGCACCAGTGAGGTGGCCAGGGACTGGGGTTGGGTTAGATGCCGGAAAGGTGGCACCATGGGTTGCTCTGAAGAGATGCCCCCATGAGTGTCCCTAATGCTGTCTCCAGAGTCTGTTTGCACCCAAGGTGAAGGCAAGGTTTGGGGGACAATGCCTGATTCCCTGCCACGTGGCAATGCTGCCAGGCTTTGGCACAACATGTCCAGATGTGTCAATCCACAAGCACTACAGCACCTGGAAACAAGCATGCTGCAGTCTGCATGAGCGAGAGCTTTCTCCTTCCCCAGCAAGGGCATGGCCCAGTCATCAGCAGGCAGACAACACCAGTACCCTACTTGTCCCTCTGCCCATGACCTGGGATCCAGGAGGGAGCAAGGCTGCTCTCTCAAGCTTTTGGGGAAGGATGTTCATCCCCATCACCCACGGGAACACCTACAGCCTTTACCAATCCCTTCCAGGAAGGAACAGCTGTGTGAAGCTGTGGCTGGGCAGTGGGAAGAAGCAAAGAGCAATGGGATGACGCATGATGAGCGATGAGGGAATGGCTTGGAGCTGAATCAGGGGAGGGTCATGGTGGGACTTAGGAAAATGTTCTTCACCAGAGGGTGCTGGGCATGCAACATGCTCCTCAAGGCAGTGGGGAGCTGCCAGAGTTCAAGAAGTGTTGGGGTAGTGCTCTCAAATGTAGGGTTTGGGTGGCCATGTGCGGAGTCAGCAGTTGGACTCGGTGATCTTTGTGGGTCCCTTCCAATTCGGGATGTTCAGTGATTCTAGGATTCCGTGATCCTATGGTTCTCTGATTCTGTGCTGCCCCTGGCCAGGTGATGCTGGAGCAGATGCAGGGTGTGGTGCGGCTGGAGCTGTCAGGCTGCAACGACTTCACGGAGGCCGGGCTGTGGTCGAGCCTCAACGCCCGCATCACAGCACTGAGCGTCAGCGACTGCATCAACGTGGCTGATGATGCCATCGCAGCCATCTCACAGCTCCTGCCCAACCTTGCCGAGCTCAACCTGCAAGCTTACCATGTGACGGACACGGCTCTCGCCTACTTCACCGCCAAGCAGGGTTACACCACGCATACCCTGCGCCTCAATTCCTGCTGGGAGATCACCAACCACGGCGTGGTCAACATGGTGCACAGCTTGCCCAACCTGAGTGTCCTCAGCCTCTCGGGCTGCTCCAAGGTGACAGATGATGGCGTGGAGCTGGTGGCTGAGAACCTGCGCAAGCTACGCAGCCTTGACCTGTCCTGGTGCCCTCGCATCACTGACATGGCCCTGGAGTACATCGCCTGTGACCTGCACAAGCTGGAGGAGCTGGTGCTCGACAGGTACGGGATGGTGCCAAGGGTGATGGTGCAGCAGGGTGGCCGTGGGCTGGGGACAATTCATCTGCTTGTCCTATGTCTCCACAGGTGTGTGCGGATCACTGACACTGGTCTCAGCTACCTGTCCACCATGTCATCCCTGCGGAGCCTTTACCTGCGCTGGTGCTGCCAGGTAGGGGAGAACTAGGGCTGTGCTGCCCACACTGGGAGCCCATGATTGTGTCCACACTGCAGGTGGCATCGGGCTGGGATGGGAGGGGAAATCAGGATGCTGCCATGGGTTTGCAGCAGAGCTCTGGGAAGACAGGTGATGTGGGGCTGAAAGTATGGGGAAAGATGCAGGACATCTGTAGGCTCAGCAGGGCTCAGCTCCATCATTCTGTTCCATCCCCCATTCCATCACTCTGCCCCACTATCGTGTCCCACCATCATGTCCCACCACCATGTTCCACCTCCACATAGAATCATAGAATCACTCAGGTTGGAAAAGATCATCAAGTCCAACCATGACCTAACCATATTCCCTAACTAACAACCCTCTGCTAAATCGTGTCCCATCAATCACCTGCCCAGCTGCAAGGTCATCGAGTAGCACCCACCTGATGGGGACCAGCCCATCACCCTATTGCATTCCCCCTTTCCGTTACTCTAACCCAACATATTGCTCCACCACCCTACTCCATCACTCAGTCCCACCACTCTGCTCCACTCAGCCACGGGATCCATGGGTGCTGTACCCCATTTTTGGCACCTCTGCCTGTCTTCATCCTGGTCCCACTCCTGTTTCTTTTACAGGTGCAGGACTTTGGCCTGAAGCACCTCCTGGGCATGGGCAGCCTACGCCTCCTGTCTCTTGCTGGTGAGACCTGTGCATGAGGTGACGTGGGGCTGGGGGTGTCTGGAAATGGGGACAAGGATGGTCCCTGGGAACAGAAATGAGGGCCCCCATGATGGCAGGGTTCCGGCAGCCCAGGGAACCTCAAGTCCTGCGGCACCCACATGGGGATACAGGGAAGGGGATGGGGACAAGGATGGGAAAACCATGGTGACAGTGACATTGTCCACCTGCAGGCTGCCCCTTGTTGACCACCACGGGCCTCTCAGGGCTGGTACAGCTGCAGGAGCTGGAGGAGCTGGAGCTCACCAACTGCCCCGGAGCCACTCCAGAGCTCTTCAAGTACTTCTCCCAGCACCTGCCCTGCTGCATGGTCATCGAGTAGCGTCCACCTGATGGGGACCAGCCCCCCTAAACCCAGCTGAGACGGCACCCAACCCATTTCTTCCCGTCAGCAGGATTAGGGGGGGTGCAAAAGACGCTGCCCATTCAACTGACCCACATGTAAAGCCCCCGCCTCGACGACCTGGATGCCAGCACCCCCCCCCCACTTGCCACCGAGGGGCCCGGGCGCGACAAGAGGAGATCCCTGCTTTTTGGCACCCATGGGTGCTGCACGGATGGGAGCTTGGGACCCCCTGCACAGAGCCATGGGCACCCCCGGATGGGAGAAACAAGCCAACCCCCCCGTGCTGTGCGTCCCCCCTCGCCCATCCATAGGATGCTTTCCTCCACCCTCGCATGCTCGCTTGCTTCAGTCTCGTGGCACAGCAGGGGGGACAGTGACAAGTGGCATCCGCCACCCTGCTGCCACCCAGCCCCTCCGCACAGCTCTCCTAGTTGGGCCGTGGTCTCCCTCCCCCCCCTCAAACATCACTGTGCCCCATTTCCACTGGGGACAGTGGGGTAGCATCCCCTTGATGCTAGGGGCTGTCATCCCTTTACTGCCTGGGGAACATGGAGGGATGTGGGGCCACCGCTGCTGTGGCCACTCAATGTCCAGAGGTAATTCATCTGTCTGGGATGGGTCCCACTGTCCCCATGGGGCTGGGGGTCCGGCCCTGTGCCCCGCTGCGGCTCGCAGGTGGCACGGGGACAGCGGAGTCACCGAGCAAAGGCGGGGGGACGTCACCTCGAGATGCAACGCCGCTTCTTCCAGACCTAAAGCCATCGCCCGGGTGCCACCAAACCGCCCCAACTGCAGGGCCCAGCCAGCACCTCGGGGTGCCCCACGTGTTGGGAGCTGGGGGCTGAGCCAGCACGGGGTATGGGCACGGACACGGGCACGGACACGGACACGCTTTCGGGTTGTTTTGCCTTTGTAACGGCCGGGAAGGAACTGCTGCACCACCCGCCGCCTCCGCTGGCTCCTTTTGTCCAAAACGCCCATTTCTGGTCCCAAAACAGCCTGAGGTTCTGGCCCTGAACGTGGGCTGGAGTGCTCCAGGTCAGGGTGGCACCCCTTAAACTGAGAGCACGTCACTATGGGAAGTGGGTGCTGGGCACCCAAAGGGGACAGGTGGGGACGTGTGTGGGGACTCCTTCTCACAGGACCGGGGCGAGCAGGGGCAGCCCCCAAAGGAAGATGGAAGTGGGGAGCAAAGCCACAGGTGAGGTAGGAGTGGGGTCTGAGGGTGCCCTGAGCTGGGGAAGCCAGCAGAGCTGCTCCCTCATCAGCACTCCCTGCAGTGCATCCCCCCAGTGTACCCCATCCTCCTCCTGTTCATCCACTCCCACATACCACTATGGCACAGTGCACCCCCACACTCCCCAGTGCACTCTCACACTCCGATTCCTCCCTATCTCCAGTGCAGCCCTATATCCTTCATCTCCCCAAACCTCTCAGTGTACCATTATACCCCCCATGTATGCCTAAGCTGCAGTGTGCCCCCATAACCCCAGTGCCTCCCCATTTCCCCCAGCCCATCTGCCATACCTTCCCAAAACCCCATGTCCCCTGTGCACCCTCGTGACCCCCCCACATTCCCCTGCCCGTGTCTCCCCATATCTCCCTGCACACCCCCAGCTCTCTCCACACTTCCTACATCCCCAGCGCACATCCCCATTTTCGAATCCAGCCCCCTATAGGCTCCATAACCTCCAATGTACCCCCATATCCCACTGTACCCTCTCATACCCCCACTGCACCCCCAAGAACATCCCAGAGCCATCCATATCCAGTGCCCCACATATCCCATATGCACCACTATACCCCCCAAGCCTCCAGAACCCCCCCCCATAACACCCACATCTCCCTATAACCCCCGGCACGCCCTCACATCCCACCATAGCTCCCATATCCCCCAGTGCACCCCTGCCCTCATTCCCCACCACACCAAACGCGCTCCGAGGCTTTTTGTGTGGGCGTGGCCTAGATATGGGGCGTGGCTTGGTTAGGGGGGCGTGGTCTGGTTAGAGGGCGTGGCCTGATGGAGGGCGCGTCCTGACTAAGGGGTGTCTCTTGGTTAAGGGGCGTGGCCTGGCTAGGGGGCGTGACTCGACAGGATGTTGCCCCCTTTCCGTAGCGCCGGAAGGGGCGGGGCTTAGGGCCGGCAGGGCCGGCGGGGCCTGCGGGTCTCGTGCTGCCGGCGGGGCTGCGGTACGGGGGGCGATGGGAAGCTCCGAGGGGTGAACCCGTGGTGCGTAGAGGGTGACAGCGGGCTCCGAGAGCGTCCTGAGGGAGCTGTGGGTCGGGAGAAGGCTCTGAGGGGGTTCGGAGGAGGCTGTGGGGTGGCTGCAGGCCCTGGTAGGGCCCTGAGGGACTCAGAGGGGGCTGTCGGCCTGGTTGGGGGCCTGTGGGTGCTGTGAGGGGGCTCTGAGGGGGCTGTGGGCCACAGCAGGACATGATATGAGGGCATGCAGGCTCTGAGGGGCTCAGGGGGCCTGGCTGGATGGAGAGGGGCTGGGGGGGAGTCCCTGCAGGCAGTCCCTGTGTCCCGCAGCAGCCCCTGGCCCCACAGGGAGCTGTTCCTACACACACAGGTAGCAGGAAGCCCTGGGGAGCACCCCAAGGAGCGGCCACTGAGCCTGGCGTGAGCTCTGTCTCTCTCCTCACAGGTACCAAGCGAGCTTTAGCCTCTCTGCTTCCCACGCAGTTGATGCAAACCCAGAACACCCCGGAGCTGTGCCCACCCCTGACCAGCGCTGGCTGAGGGGACACGGGGCGGCCGCTGGGGCTTGGATGCAGCCTGCGGGGCTGCCAGTCTCCGAGCCCGCTCCCAGAGAGGGGACCCTGCGCCAAGGACGGCCATGGAGAAGATGGCCAGGGTGAGCACGGCCCTGGGGGGCAACACCCTGACAGGGCGCACCATGTTTTGTCACCTGGACGCCCCTGCCAACGCCATCAGCGTGTGCCGCGACGCAGCCCAGGTGGTGGTGGCCGGCCGTAACATCTTCAAGATCTACTCCATCGAAGAGGAGCAGTTTGTGGAGAAGCTGAACCTCCGTGTGGGCCGCAAGCCCTCGCTGAACTTCAGCTGCGCCGACGTGGTGTGGCACCAGATGGATGAGAACCTGCTGGCCACAGCCGCCACCAATGGCGTGGTGGTCACCTGGAACCTGGGCAAGCCGTCCCGCAATAAGCAGGACCAGCTGTTCACCGAGCACAAACGCACCGTCAACAAAGTCTGCTTCCACCCCACCGAGGTGTATATGCTGCTCAGCGGCTCCCAGGACGGCTACATGAAGTGCTTTGACCTGCGCAAGAAGGACTCTGTCAGCACCTTCTCTGGTATGAGCCCAATCTCTGGTTGTTCCTCTGCTTGCCCAGAACCATGAGGAGGGTTGGAGTCAGCAGGGAGGGAGCCAAGAGGCTTTGGCCGCTCAGCGTGGGCTTAGTAAGGCTCATAGGGACTGCACCAGGCCCTCCTTTCCTCTTCTCAGGGCTGGGGGACTCCATGTCTCTCCCACAGCAATGTTGCCAAGGTTTTTCAGTCTGTAGTTGTTAGCACTGCTGGAGCTGTGTCTCACTGCACCAAAACTTCTCTCCCCGCTCAGGCCAGTCGGAGAGTGTGCGTGATGTGCAGTTCAGCATCCGCGACTACTTCACCTTTGCTGCCACCTTTGAGAATGGCAACGTGCAGCTGTGGGACATCCGCCGGCCCGACCGCTATGAGAGGATGTTCACAGCCCACAACGGCCCCGTCTTCTGCTGTGACTGGCACCCCGAGGACCGGTGGGTACAGAGTCAGGCCCTGCCAGCTGCTCAAGCTTAGCAGCAGAGAGCTGTATAAATGGCTTGGGGCCTTCCAGAGCAAAGCAGGCTCTCTGACCCCAGCATCTTGCGTTGGTGTTGGGAGATGGAAACAGGTTTTCTTGAGGATGGAGAAAGGAGTAGGGGGAGCTGGGAGCCTGTCAGTTGAGCTTGGTTTCAAAAGTGCAGGGCGTTTCTCTGAGACAGGAGGGAGAGGTGCTGTCTGACCTCGTCGTTTGAGAGGAGAGGCGTTAGGTCAGCTTGTGGGAGGATGCGATTGCAGCCCAGCTGCCTCCCGTGGTGTGGACAAGTCTCATGGGTACATCTGTGCTGTGGGCACCACCCGTCCCACTGTCCAGTGTGTCATCATCTTCCTTCATCCTTCTCACAGGGGCTGGCTGGCAACAGGCGGCCGGGATAAGATGGTGAAGGTTTGGGACATGAACACCACGCGGGCCAAGGAAATCTACTGCGTGCAGACCATCGCCTCCGTAGCCCGGGTGAAGTGGCGGCCAGAGTGCAAGCACCACATTGCCACCTGCTCCATGATGGTGGACCACAACATCTACGTGTGGGACGTGCGGCGGCCCTTCATCCCCTCTGCCATGTTTGAGGAGCACAAGGATGTCACCACGGGCATCGTGTGGCGTCACCTCCACGACCCCTACTTCCTCCTGTCCGGCTCCAAGGACAGCACCCTTTACCAGCACATCTTCAAGGATGCCAGCCAGCCCATCGACCGGGCCAACCCCGAGGGGCTGTGCTACAGCCTTTATGGAGACCTGGCCTTTGCAGCCAAGGAAAGTCTCATCTCCTCCGACTCCAACCGCAAGCCCTACATCGGGGACCGCCGCCACCCCATCTTCTTCAAGCGCAAGCTGGACCCCACAGAGCAGTTTGAGTACATCTCCTCCTCCAGTGCCCTCAGCGTCTTCGAGACGGACGTGGAAAGTGGCAGCATGGACTGGTTTGTGCACACTGCCAAGCAGTACGCACTGGCCGGCAGGCCCCTGGCCGAGCTCTGTGACCACAATGCCAAGGTGGCCAAGGGCTTGGACCGCAACCAGGTGAGCATGGGTGGAGGTACTGGCTCTGCTGTTTGGTCTCTCTGTCCCTTCTCTGCCCTGCAGCTGTCCTCGGAAGGTGTCACTCAGCCCTAGCACAGATCTGTAGTGCTGTTGCCTACAGCAAGCACAAATTTCTTTCTGTGCCCAGAAACGACGTCCCCGTGGGCCTTCTTAGCTTGGTAGATTGACAGATGATGGGAGTCGGGCTGCTTTTTAAGAGGTGAAGTCTGACTGCAGCTCTCACACACAGGTGGCTCAAACGTGGACGATGCTCCGGA